GCAAGAGAGAGAGAGAGAGAGCACGCGAGAGAGAGAGAGAGAGATGTGTCACAGAGAGAGAGAGAGAGAGATGTGAGAATAACTAAACCCCTGGTTGATAAACAAGGAATTAGACAAACGAGACAAACATAAAATCGCTTCCAATGATTCATGTATATATACATGTGCATATAGTGTGTGTATACATATATATACATACGTATCGTTCAGGCAGAACTGCCCGGTGAACCGTAGGCAGAGAGGGAGAAGAGGACAACAAACGAGGGCCTGTGACAGACTGTTTCATTGGAGTTTCACCGACTCATCAGGAGGCTGAACCCTCTACAGTCTCCAGAGTCCCCTACCTAGCCGACGATACTGTGCGTTATAACCCACCTTAATCCCGGTCAAGCATCAACAACTGCCCGACAACTGATACCCCTCTGAGGTGGTGGGGACCACCAACCACTGCTCTCAAGGTACCTGTGGTGAATATCAAAGCAGCCTATCACGCATCCACACCACATGGAGAACTTTACAGACTGCAGGTTCTCCCATCATCATATATATATCGTCAAACAGAGCTGCCCGGTAAAGCGTAGGCAGAGAGGGAGGGAGAAGAGGACAACAAACGAGGGGCTGTGACGACCTGTTTCGTTGGAAGGAGTTCACTGACTCATCAGGAGGCTGAACCCTCAATATATATATTGTCACAGTGGAAATCGTATTGTCACATAATATCAGAGCGCCAAAGCGAAAAACAGAAACAATAAAAACTCAATAAATCTTCTTCCTTACAACTCCCCTGTTCAGAACCTCTTGCGTACATATATATCGTCACAAATAGAATATATATATTGTCACACTGTAAATCGGAGCGCAAAGGCGGAAATCAAACCGTGCCATATATATATGTATAATATTATATAGATATGTTATAAAACCACCTCCATATTAACCACATGAGTTCGCTTCCATTTTTTCTTTGAATTGAAAAAAAAAAAACGATTTTCATTCAGCAACAGCAGAACCCTGCATTCATTACTTAATCCTCTTACCAAACGTTTGACTCTCAGGGCATCCTCACACCAGGCCTTTTTCTTCTCAGCTTTGGCTGTAACTACGATCAGATACTTCAGCCTGCTGTCGTAATTGCGTCCAGATACATCCAGAAACGTGCCCGTGTTGTGAAATGTTCTCTCCGCCTAATACCCTTACTCACCAAGTATTTCACGTGCAGGTTTGGGTCCAACTTTTTTTCTCCTCTGCAAATTTTTTCAATTCCTTTGACTTCTTTTAAGTTTTTTTGCAAAACAGCCTCATTCACATCACATGACTTTTTTTCCATACATACCCGGGCCTTCTTTTGACACATAAACAAATGACTTTTTTACTTTTTTACTTTTTTACTTTTTTTTTTTTTTCACACATACACTACTTTTCAGTAAACACAAAAACACACTCACATCCCCTCCTACACTCGCGGGTATTTTCGCCCTCTCGGGATCTAACGCCTGCATGACTTCCCGCCAATTCTATGACTGGAATCCTTCCCGCGACTTTTCCACACATGACTTTATAAAAAATAAAAAGATAAAAAAATCAACCTCCCATCTTCCTCCTCCTACAAATATTTCCCGCCAATTCTATGACTGAAATCCTTCCCGCGACTTTTTCCGCACATGACTTTATAAAAAAATAAAAAATAAAAAAATCAACCTCCCATCTTCCTCCTCCTACAAATATTTCCCGCCAATTCTATGACTGAAATCCTTCCCGCGACTTTTTCCACACATGACTTTGAGAAGAAAAAAAAAAAATCAACCTCCCATCTCCCTCCTCCCACAAATATTTCCCGCCAGTTCTATGACTGGTATTTTCGCCCTCTACGTGAAAGCCGCCTGCATAACTTCCCGCCAATTCTGTCACTAGAACCTTTCCCGCCAACTTCACGTCACCCTTCGGCAGCCTTCCGCGCGCAACGACGCCCCCAGCGCGGACTGCGCAGACTGCTGCGCACCGTTCCGCCACGTGGCGCGCAAAACAGAAACCAGGCGCGTCTCCAACGCCCAGAAACCTTGCGGAAAAACATTTTCAATGCATCTCCAAAAAAAAAAAAAAAAAAAAAACGAAAATTCAGAAATGCGCGCGAAAAGAGGACGCTGAGCCTCGGCGCGCAGTGCGAGCAACGCAGCTCTACAGAATCATTCGTGCCACGGAAATGAAGCCCCCCTCTCCTCTCGGAGAATGAAAACCCCATATAAACCTCTAATATTCACGAATACAACTGAAATTCCACCATCTATATTTCATATTTTATAGCAATATATAGCTTAAAAGAAAGGGAAAAAAAAGACAAAATCATGTCCATCGATAATCACATGTCAAAAAAATACCCCTAGACCCGTGAGAATAAAGGTATAGCCTTCCAAAAAAAAAAGGAGAATAAAGGTATAACAAAAAAGAACGTATCTATACATATCAGACGAGCAAATATCAATACATAACTGCAGAGGCACGAAACTATAGATATTTGTAGAGATATACTTCTATAGATATTCCTAAAGATATTTCTACAGAAAAAAGGAACGTATCTACAGATATCTCTATAGACTACAGTCATATAGCATCATCAACATGCATATCACTCAATTTAATAGAATTTAATAGAATTTAATAGAATTTAATAGAATTTAATAGAAGTATTAAACAGTGAAATGGAAGATATGTCCGCAGCTATAGATACTTATATCTATCTATATCTATATGATTATAAATCGTCCATCAAAACATTGATGATATATATTGCTAGCAAACCCATATAAATGTACCCTTCAAAATTAAGGCCCCATTATTAATAGGGTGAATTTGTCAGCACCCCTACAAACTTCAGAAACAGGACAAAAAGACCCCTCCCAACGACCTCAAAGTGACCAACCCCTTGGCTACGCAGATGATTCCATTCGTGTCGGAGGGCATACCGGCAAACTCAGACTTCACTCGGAGGGTATAACATGAAAATTTAAAAAAAAAAAAAAAACTCGAATAGGAAGGTCCTAACAGGAAAACCAATACTTCAATTGGAAAGCAGGAATAAGATGAAACTCAAAACTTTCAAATTGTGGAGAGTGTGAGGGAAATTCAGGTCATATTGAAGGGCATAAACGCAAACTCAGACTTCCCTAGGAGAATATAACATGAAGAAAAAAAAAAAAAAAACTCTTGTCCTTCAAATAGACGATAAGATGAAAATCAATACTTCAACCGGAAGCGTACTACTAAGATGGAACTCAAAACCTCAATTGTGGAGTGAGAGGGGAAGTACGGTCATATCGGAGGGCATACCGGCAAACTCCAATTGGAAGGGTATAAGATGAAAATCAAAACTTCAATTGGAAGGTACTAGTATGCAAATCAAATCTCCAGCTGGACGCATACATACTAAAAAACACATATAATCATAATCATCATCATGATAATAATAATAAAAATAATAATAATAATATACTATAATAATATACTATAATAATATACTATAATAAAAGATGAAACTCAAAACTCTAATTGTGGACTTTTGAGGCGAAGTAAGGTTGGGGTGAATGACTCCTTATGTCTATATCGAATCCATATCTGAGCACCGAAATAGTGGTACTGTTCATAGACTCCTTTTGATATAGTAATGTCTACAGACAATAACAGTGCTCACACAACAGATAGGAATACACTGAATACTTTCACAACCATCACCATCTATACCAAAATAGTATACACTCCTTCCATAGACAAATACACAGACTATACGCTTATCTAATCCAAAAAACCCCTAACATACACAAGTACACAGATATATACCCAGCTTATTATTTCCGGCAAACATATATTTAAAAAAAAACATCTAATCGACTATATGAAAGAAAAATTCCCTCTCATAGAGTATGTGAAGTACCCTTTCGTTCACTAACCCGCAATTCCCCGAACAAGCAAACCGCACCTATTCTTCGTCTTAACTACACGATACACGCATTCTCTCACATCGCCGAAGGCCCTCTCTCTCTCTCTCTCTCTCTCTCTCTCTCTCTCTCTCTCTCTCTCT